TGTGTGTGTGTGTGTGTGTGTGTGTGTGTGTGTGAAACGTCTAGAAGCGGCCAGAGTCAGATCCACAGGTATAAAGCGGCAGGTGTGAGAGCACAGAGCAACAGAAACAGATCAGAGAGGAAGGAGAAGATCAGACCTACAACTCAATGCTGAACTGTGAGTACACACTTCATTGATGAGAGGAAGTTTACTTTGAAAGTTTGAAGCTTTGATAGTTGTGTGTGTTTTATTTTGAAGTAATGTAAGTGGAGCAAACAGTTTTTAAAAGCGTTTTCACAGCTGAGATGTTCTGGTATATTTTCTGCCTCTAAGGAATCAGATGATCAATAACCAATAATGATGAATGTAACTGCAGCCTGTGAGCTGTGGGTCAGTGTACATGTGTAGTAATGTGTTTAGTCTCTAAAAGGTCGTTTAACTGTTTGACAGGAAACGTCCCCAGTGAAGATGTCTGCAGCTAAAGGTGTAGCGATCGGCATCGACCTGGGCACCACCTACTCCTGTGTGGGGGTTTTCCAGCACGGAAAAGTAGAAATCATCGCCAACGACCAGGGCAACAGGACCACCCCCAGCTATGTGGCCTTCACTGACACAGAGAGACTGATTGGTGACGCAGCCAAGAACCAGGTGGCTCTGAACCCCAGCAACACTGTGTTTGATGCCAAGAGACTGATTGGAAGAAAGTTTGATGATGCAGTGGTGCAGGCTGACATGAAGCACTGGCCCTTCAAGGTGGTTTCAGATGGAGGGAAGCCCAAAGTTCAGGTGGCGTATAAAGGGGAGGACAAAGCTTTCAACCCTGAGGAGATTTCATCCATGGTCCTGGTGAAGATGAAGGAGATCGCTGAAGCCTACCTCGGCCACAAGGTGTCCAACGCAGTCGTCACAGTCCCAGCGTACTTCAACGACTCCCAGCGACAGGCGACTAAAGACGCGGGCGTCATCGCAGGACTGAACGTACTGAGAATCATCAACGAGCCGACGGCGGCCGCCATCGCGTACGGTCTGGACAAAGGCAAGTCAGGAGAACGTAACGTCCTGATCTTTGACCTGGGCGGAGGCACCTTCGACGTGTCCATCCTGACAATCGAAGACGGGATCTTTGAGGTCAAATCCACGGCCGGCGACACTCACCTGGGCGGAGAGGACTTTGACAACCGCATGGTCAACCACTTTGTGGAGGAGTTCAAGAGGAAACACAAGAAGGACATCAGCCAGAACAAGAGAGCCCTGAGGAGGCTGCGCACAGCTTGTGAGAGGGCCAAGAGGACGCTGTCCTCCAGCTCCCAGGCCAGCATCGAGATCGATTCTCTGTTTGAGGGCATCGACTTCTACACCTCCATCACCAGGGCTCGCTTCGAGGAGCTGTGCTCCGACCTGTTCAGGGGAACATTAGATCCGGTGGAGAAAGCCCTGAAGGACGCCAAAATGGACAAGGCGCAGATCCACGACATCGTCCTGGTGGGAGGCTCCACCCGAATCCCCAAAGTCCAGAAACTCCTGCAGGATTTCTTCAACGGCAGAGAGCTGAACAAGAGCATCAACCCAGATGAGGCGGTGGCTTACGGCGCCGCCGTACAGGCCGCCATTCTCTCAGGTGACACCTCTGGCAACGTTCAGGACCTGCTGCTGCTGGACGTGGCCCCTCTGTCCCTGGGTATCGAGACAGCCGGAGGAGTCATGACGTCCCTGATTAAACGCAACACCACCATCCCCACCAAACAAACCCAGGTCTTCACCACCTACTCTGACAACCAGCCCGGGGTCCTCATCCAGGTGTACGAAGGGGAAAGAGCCATGACCAAGGACAACAACCTGCTGGGCAAGTTTGAGCTGACAGGAATCCCACCTGCTCCACGAGGGGTCCCACAGATCGAGGTCACGTTCGACGTAGACGCCAACGGCATTTTGAACGTATCTGCGGTGGACAAAAGCACCGGCAAAGAGAACAAGATCACCATCACCAACGACAAGGGCCGACTGAGCAAAGAAGAGATCGAGAGGATGGTGCAGGACGCCGACAAGTACAAAGCTGAGGACGACCTTCAGAGGGACAAAATCTCTGCCAAGAACTCCCTGGAGTCCTACGCCTTCAACATGAAGAGCAGCGTGCAGGACGAGAGCCTGAAGGGCAAATTGAATGAGGAGGACCAGAAGAAGGTGGTTGAGAAGTGTGATGAGACCATCACCTGGCTGGAGAACAACCAGCTGGCTGATAAAGAGGAGTATCAACACAAGCAGAAAGAACTGGAGAAAGTGTGCAACCCCATCATCAGCAAGTTGTATCAGGGAGGAATGCCTGAAGGTAACTGTGGAGAGCAGGCACAAGCCGGCTCCCAGGGGCCCACTATTGAGGAGGTGGACTAAAGTGGCCCTTAATATGGACTCTGTGATCACTGGGTCTGTTTGAAATACAAATTTTACTTATAATACAAATTTTATATATGATGTATAAGCTGTAAAGATCATAAAAATGTTAATGTGTTTTTCACCTCTGCAATAAAAATGAAAATGAAATCAAATTTTATTGTTGTTTTTGTTTCGTCCTTCTGGTTTTGATGTTTATTGTTGCAGTTATTCATTTATTCATAAGATATCATGGTATAATGGAGCATGAAAGGCACATTCTAAATAAATAAATAAATATATCCAGTTCAATATAAATAAATAGATTCTTATATTAATAATGATTACACAGACAACAACACTGTGTCAAGCTCTAAGAAAAAGAAAAAGTGTTGCAGTTCCTCTCTGTGACCACATGGGGGCAGTGAAAACACATGATCCTAAACACCATCAGGTCAAACACCAGCTCCACCATGTTCAAGTCCCACTGTTTCAAAATAAACTCATGAAAAGACAGGCATGATGTCACACTTTGCACTTTTGGTGAAAACTTTCAAAATAAAACAACCAGTGGACACGAAGGTGGACAAAACATTTACACTAGTGGTATTTATTACACAATTTGTGTCAGTTGAGGTCCTTGATGTGAAAAAGTCTGATAACCACTGGAACACACAACAGTTCATGATAAACAGCTCCTCAAAATCAAAAAGAAAACTCTCCTAAAACATCCACTTTGTTGTGAAAGTCTTGTTACAAAAGATACCACCACGATAGTTTCACAATAAATCATGACAACACAAGAAAGTTCTTTCAGACCTTATAAATAAATAAATAAATAAATAAATAAATAAATAAATAAATCTTAACTCATCATTAATAAAGTGAGAACAGGGGATTTTTGCATTTTGTTTGTCAGTCATGACACTTTAATCCAACCTGTAGCTGAGATTTGAAGATGTGCATGAACTGTCAAAATAAAAGCTCATAAATTCTTTTTCTTTAGAAAGTCTGAATTCTGAGTTTAAAGTCAAAATTAAAAAAAAAAAAAAAGTTTTTTTTTTCCACATGTGGCTCTAATCGTCTTCCGTAGATCTCTTCACTACGACTCCAGCGAACATCAGTAAAACTTGTTTATTGCTCTTCACTTCCGTCTGTTTTCTATTCTCCATCGAGGCTCACGAGTCCGTCACTTCACTCCTCTCTCTTTACTCTCCGTACATCAAATACTTCACCAGAGCTTCATCTGCTGATGATGATGATGATGAGGGGAAACTGTCACCCTCTCTCTGGTTTTCTCTGACCTTGTTTGACCTTTGTGTTGAAGGTCTCATCCCTCCTCAGACATTTTGTTTCTTTCTGTCTTTACTTCTTCTTCTTCTCCTGCAGCGTCAGTGTCTGTCCGTCTGATGATGCGTGCAGCCGTTACTCTGGGTCAGACAGCCGCCGTGGTCGGGTTTGAACGTCTTCGGCGGTGCGTTCAGGCGTCTCGTGAACAGGCGCAGGGCACCTCTGCAGATCAGTGTGAACCAGTAGAGCTGCAGGGGCCAGAGCAGAGCGGCCCCCAGGTTACACTGCCACGGGGCCACGAGCAGGACGGAGTACAGCGGGATGGAAGCGTACCTGAAACATAAACGACTCACTGAGACGTTCAGATCATTAAACTATTAACTGACACCTTCAGATCAGAAACAAGGTTAACTATTTAATTATACTTTTAATTTAATGACAAGAAGTTCTTCAGTAGATTCTCATCTCATTTGATCAAATTTTTCCTTTAATATGAATTTTATCTCATTTTATCTTGTCTTGTCTTATCTTAACTTTTGTCTAAATTCAAGACTTTGATTATTTATTTGAGAGCAGTAATTACTAATAAAAAAGGAATAATTTTGTTTCTCTTTGGTGTAAAGACTCAAATAATGTTAAACTTTTAGTTTCTGTCTCGTCATGTTACAAGAGACAAGACGGTTGTTATGAGTCGTTATTGAAAGACAGACAGACAGACAGACAGACAGTTACCTGCTGTAGGCGTAGTACAGGTAGGGGAAGAGTACGACCCGACAGGTGAAGAAGGTGAGCAGCATGACGACTCCGTTCAGCTTGTGCAGCAGAGTGTGCTGCTTCTTATACTGATGACATCACAGACAGACCAGAGATACAGACACATGACATCAGGCTCCAGCAGGGGCAACAGGCTGTGTGTGTGTGTGTGTGTGTGTGTGTGTGTGTGTGTGTGTGTGTGTGTGTGTGTGTGTCTCACCTGGATCAGGACTTTCCCCAGACAGACAGATGGCGTGCTGAGCTCGGCAAGAAACAAAAGGCCCTGGAAGTAATCACCTTTCCCCTGCCTCCACAGCTGACACACACACACACACACACACACACACACACAGTTAATTTGTTAACAAACATTGGGTCACAGACCTGCGGTGCCCCCCCCAGGCTGCAACATGTAAAGTCAGTCCTGAAGGTGGCGCTACAACAAAGATCCAGGACCATCACTGTCAGTCACGTCACTGTTGCCATAGTTACCAGTGAGGCGGGGAAGCAGAAGGCGACCATGAAGACGTGGTGCAGCACCATGAGCACCTCTCTGCGCAGGTAACCCACCACAGCGGCCCCCCTCGACCTGACGGCCCCCAGCTCCTCCTGCTGCTGCTCCTCCTCGTGACCTTTGACCTGCAGCTTGTGCCAGTGGCACAGGAACATGGCGTAGATGTCGTAGGCAAAGTAAGGCGTGGCGAACAGGATGTAGGCGTCTGTCAGCCAGTGTCTGACCAGGAAGTGAAGGACAGGAGAAGTGAGACGTCACAGATATCAGACTGTCTCTACATGTTTAGAATAAATAGGATCTTCATATAAAGTCAAAACACAAAACAGTACGGGAGCCTGGGGAGGACAAACCACAGAGATGCTCAAAATAAATTATAATCGAGGGTGGAACTCAAAGAAAGATGCAGAAGGAGCTTTACCTTTTATATTCATATAAAAAATCATGTTTATCACTTACATCTGCAGCTTCTGTGTAAGTTTATAATCTGTATTTATTATTATATATGTCATTATTTTTATACGTGTAATTTTAGTCTCTTTCCCATAATCAGGAAATTGTAAAATTGATCAGAAACTCACTGAAGAAAACTGATCTCAAAGCTGTTTGTACCATAAAGATGTTTTTTCATCATTATGTGTATGAACATCTCTGATCCTAGTGTCATTTCTGATCAAACTCTTAAAGCTCCTCCAGTGTAAAGGTCTGTGTCCATGTGTAGTGTGATTATAGATCAGCTCTAGCTTCTATATTAATACTGTGAAAGTATCAAAGCCTCAGTCCACAGAGAAATGCACACAGCCTGTATTCAGAAACTGAGCCTTAAAACCAGCCGTCAGGACTTCTGGAACTTTGTGATGTCACAACAAAGCAGTCACCAAGCCCCGCCCACCTGGACCCACCATCCAAACCTTGCAGGATTTGGTTTCTCTGAGTGTTTTTACCTGAAATCTGCTTTATTTTTTATTGGATCAGTCAGAAAACAGTCAGCCAATAAGAAGAGAGGCTCAGACCTGTTGTTACTAGGAGCTCTTAGAACTTCAAAATAAAATACTGGAAAAGCGTAAAATATTGAGCTTTAATCAAATGAATTTAACCCAACCTCAGCTTTTTTTATTTTATTTGCTAAAAATAAATAAAAGTGAACCGACTTGAAGCCTCCAAACCTCCACCAGCTTCAGCAGCAACATCTTAATTAATCATCTATAATATAATCTATAATCATTTATCAGTTTTTCTGCAGAACCACGACTTTTATTTACTTCTATTTTTCTGACTAAAAACCTTTTCTCAAGATTTGATCATCAGTTTTATTTGTATGTTTGAGTATCAATTTATATTTTTAAATTTACAAAGACACACTCCAGTTCAGCAGCTGTAATGTTTTATGTTGTTAGTTCTGCAGGTTTTTGATCATAAACTAAAGTATTTGACAAATTAAAATCTTTACTTTTGACACTTTGAATGTATTTTTCTGATGATAACCAGTATGTAAATCTGAGTATTTCTACATGAATGTAAATGCAAACTTCTTCCATCTGTCCATGTGTCTGACTCTGAACATGATCTTCTCTCACACTGACAAACTGAAAGCTGAGTGTTCGTGCGGCGGCTACCCAGAGTTCCCTGCTGCATGTCCGCTGCGTCTCCCGCGTGATTTGCTAAACAAATGAAGCTTTGACTGGGAAATGAAAGAGCTGACGGAGGAAACCTGGGTTTTACCGAAACAACACCCCCACCCCCTCTGTCATCTGTCTCACACTCCTTCATCTTCATCATGTCATTTCCCATCATGCTCAGCGACGGCGTGGAGGATTAGTGATCTCTGGGACCGACTTAGAGACTGAAATAGCTGCTGCTGCTCGGCTCAGGAGGCGAATTAGACTCAGATTGTTAATTAGATTACAGACACACACACACACACACACACACACACACACCGATGCACTAGTGTGATTAAATGCTAACACGCTCATGTTTAACTGGTACAATGTTTTACGTCATTAGTTCTGCAGGTATTTGATCATAAACCAAAGTATTTCACAAATTAAAATCTTAAAATTAAACTCTGTAGGATTCATCCTCTGGGGATCATGAACATCTGCGTAAAGTTTCATCACAATCCATCCACTAGTTGTCGAGATATTTCACTGAAAACCACAAACATCAGTGTTTTGACCCGACCGAGGCTTTAAATGAAGAGATTAAAAATCATTCGTCCTCTGGGAAACAGGAAGTTTTCTGCTGATCTGTCGAGTTATTTCATTGGAGGGAAAAGTAAAGATCAGGTTTCATCCTCCGGGAAACAGGAAGTCAGTCTGGGCCGACGGACGCCATCTTGTGAAAAGGTCACGCAGCTAAAAACAAATCAACACCGGACTTGAGTGAAACCTCCAGCTGAGTTTTATTGATTTTATATTTTCTTCAAGCTCATAAAAAGCTCCTCAAAGGCTTCTGGGTAACGAAGCTAAAAGTTTAACGAGGATGTTTTTTCTTAAAATCAGTAAAAAAAAACACATTTGGAGAGAGAAGGTTTTCACCTGACACCTGTGATCAGTCATTGATCGGCTCCTGGAGCAGCTGCATGTTTGACTCATATTTGTATTGTATATATTTATATTTCCTATATTTTCTATAATATTTCTTCACATTTTTATTGTAAATATTTAATTTTATTGTTAAATTTTTGTATTTATATCTAAGCTCTCTGACCTGCGGTTACATGCTTGTTTATATTTGTTTCTTTTCTTTTTATTGTCATGAACTGGAACAAGTTATTTCCTTCCTTGTTGAAAACTGGCAATAAACCAGATTTTTAGAGAGAATCCAGACAACATCCTCTTTTCCAACATCATGAACATCACTGGAGTTTTGTTGGAAGCAGAAGTTTCTCAGACGTTATAAAGAACAAAATAAATAATAAATCAGCTGTTCGTTGTAGTTTTAATCAAACAAACAAACAGGAAGAAATATATAAAGTATTAGATTAAAAACATTTAGAACGATGGGAAAGGTTTATTGAAGGAGAGGCTGGTGCTGTGTCGAGCCAACAATAAAGAAAATGTAAAATGTAAAATGTAAAATGTAATACTGAATCTGATTTATTTAGCCTTTGTTTTGTTTTAATATCTTATTTGTTCATTCTTTAACATCTTATTTATGACGTGATTCATTATTTGGTTTGTTTAAAGACTTCATTGTTTTGTCTCGCAGTTATTTATGTCATGTTTTTGTTTATGAAGTATTTGTCTGGGACTATTTTCAGCGGCGGATTAATCCACATTCGCTGTAGTGAGTGTTTGGGAGTGAAGGAAACAAATACTGAGACATTTGGTCCTCACCTGTCCTCCATGACGTCCCTGCAGGATGAGACGATGACGCATCCGGCTGAAGAGGCCATGACGGCCTGGACGGACGACACCAGGCTGAGAGCAGAGACATGATCAGTTTAGATCCTGATCAGAGAGATTGATCAGTTTGTGAAGAATCTGTCGTTGTGTCATCTGAACAAAAACAGGCTCAACACCTTTCAGTCAGTATAAACTCTGACATCAGTGTCGCTGTGACAGCTGGTTTATCATATTGTTACCTGGTGACACATTCAAATGCAGCTTGTTATTCACAGTGTCGTTCAGCTGCATGGATCAGGAACCAGCGGTAATATTTACTGCTTCCTACTTCCTGTTCTTTCCTCAATCAGTTTCCTAGAAAGACAAAACTTCATTTGGATTCTTCGTGACTCTGAGCTGCCACAGATTATTGATCTGCTTGTTGATCAGCTTCGTGATGATTGAATAAAACTCTAGAAACATGTTTGGACCTGACGTCACAGAGACGGAGACTCATGGAACATTTTCTGTCTGATCAGACTTTCAATATTTTATTTTGTCTTTGTAGGAAACTCTACATCTGTTTATGAACAGAGAGTAGATGGATAGATTGAGTGATTGATTGAGTGATTGATTGATTCTTTATTGTCATTGTTGTCATTAAAATACACAATGAAATTAAGTTTGGCAGCAAATCATAAAATAAATAAAGATATATTATACTATATATTTGAATGATTTTAGCATTCAAATATATAGTAAAATAAAATTTGCACATAAACATCAATGATATAAACAACCAATCAGGACAACAGGCAACAACTGGAAACACCAGATCAACTCCATATTAAACTACATTAATCTACATTTATTATTCTACATCAATCAGTTCGTCACATTTTATCAGAAAATTTGCTCCAAGGAAGAAAAAATATCAAATGTGACGTCATGTGTTCAAAACAGCTGGCAATTGATTTTCTGATTAATTAATCAACTAATCGTTTCAGCTGTAGAGAGCTGGGGCTGGTTGCACAAAACACCTTAAACACCTTAAGATTCTCCTTAAAGTCTGAGTTTAGGTTTCACAAAACACCTTTAAGCCTTCTCCTTAAGGTTTCCGTGAAGTTCCTGTCAAAACAGCAGGAGGATGAGAGAGCAGCGCACCTGATAACAGGTATAAGCTAATGCCAGCAAGCAACTGTATCCATGGAAACAGTAGAATTTTACTGCTGTAAAATCTCTTTCACTGCTGTAAATTACTTTTTTACTTAACTAAGGAAACCTTTTAAGAGATTCTGTGCAACACCCTTAAGTAATTCCCTCAGCTAAGGAGAAATTAATCCTTAAGTGTCAGACTTAAGTAGAAAACATAAGGTGTTTTGCAACTGGCCCCTGGCTGGTGTGTGAGGAAATAATGAAACCGAGGACCAACAAGTGTGAGAGTGTGTGTGTGTGTGTGTGTGTGTGTGTGTGTGTATGTGTGTGTGTGTGTGTGTGTGTGTGTGTGTGTTCTTACCGTGTGGAGACGACAGCAGCATCCCCCTCCCCCCATCCCATCATGTGTCTCAGGGTCAGTTTGGACAGGAGGAAGAGTCCGGGGAAGAAGACGGAGCCCGCACTGATGAGGGTGAGGGCCCACATGGCTCCTGGGTTTCCCTGTGTGTGTGTGTGTGTGTGTGTGTGTGTGTGTTTCCTCTCACACACTCTCTGGATGAGCTGCAGTGTTAAATGAGGACAGGTTGTAGGAGCTCACAGAGGAGGATCAGGAGGGCGGAGCCTCCTGCTGCCACCTGTCAGAGGGGGCGTGGTGATGAGGGAGGAGGGAGTAACTGCTGGAGGACTCGGTGAGGACCAGGGACCTGGGTCTGGACCTGGATCTGGACCTGGAGGTCTGGTTTCACTGAGCCTGGTGTGTTCTACTGATCTTTACTGTGAGCTCTTTCGTCGTAGCAGCAGTGACTCAGTTCTGTGATGTGATTGGTCAGTAGTGCTCCAGAGCAGGTTAGGTTGCCATGGTGATCTACCTGCTTAAACCCAAAGTTATCTGGATAACCACCTGATCTTGCCTCGTGATTCTGGACCCGGATCATAATGTTGGTGATTTAACAAGAGTTGTTACCATGGCAACGAGTCCCTTGAACCCAAACCTTCACAGGTGCAGCGTGAGTCCTCACACATGAGCTTTAATTAAACAGTGTTGATATAATTTCAGATGAGAAATCTTTATGATGAGTTGATGTTCAGTAAAAATCTGATCATTAAAAAACATCTGGAGCTAAAACGTGATTTAATTTGACATGAAAACAAGAATTTATCATTTGAAGATTAAGATTTATTAAAATATCAACTGCAGAAAATAAAACTTTTTAAGAGATTTTAGAAAAAGTCTTATTTTCTTTTTTATGCTTATTCCTTTTTTATTTATATAATTTTCATATAAGCGTCTTGTGTATAGCAATTTGTCTGAAAGCAAGTTACACTATGCTCCCATGTACGGGTACAAGCTCTCCTGAATATGTTTTAATTTCCACCATATTTATGCCAATTAATATAATAAAGAAAGTTTTTAATGGTAAATAAAGAGTAAGTAGTTTTCATCACTCGTTCTTGTGTCCAGGACGTGACTGAAACGTTTCTTTCGTCAGTTGATTCAGTCTTATGAATGTATGACTGCTGTTGATCTACAGGAGATATTAAGAACTGCACATGAATAAAACAAACTGATTTGACTCTAATATTTTCTTCTACTTCAGATATAAAACCAGGTGATTTGATCCGGCAGTGAAACGTGCTGAGTGAAGGACTGACTGAACACAGGTTTATTATCCAGTGTCCATTTATTTATTTGTCATTCACTACTTTAACTCTAAACATTTTTTTAAGAAATTCAAGTATTTGTTGGGAACACAAGTCAAAAAAAAACAAACAAAACTTTTTTTGCTAAAACAAAGACGAAAAACATCCGTTTAAAACATCAGTTTCATATTTAGAATAATAAACACATCAAGTTTCTTTTCATAGAAGAAAACAAGTCTAATCTCTATAGATGACCAGCCGTCTGTCCGTCCACCTGTTCACCTGTCCACCTGTCCACCTGTCCGTCTCCGTCTGAAAACACACTCATCAGCTGATCTCAGAACAGAGAGCAAACACAGGTCATCTGGTTTAAAAACGCTTCCTAACCTGAAGGATCTCTACGAACACAACAACAGAAAAGAGAAAGAAAAGAAAAGGTCCAGAGGGAAACGTTCGTTAGCTGCTCCCTAAACGAGGAAACGTGCCTCGAATTAACAACCAACCTTCTGATTACTCACCTCTTTAAAACCATTCATCTATTATCAATTAAAGAAAATGAATCAGTTCATCATTTTAAACATCCTCCAGTTTCTGCAGTGTGATTAGACAACGAGCTGCTGATTAATTATAACGAGCATTTTTCACTATTATCTGACGTTTTACTAACAAAACGATTCACTGATTAATCGATAATGAAAACAGTCGTTAGTCGCAGCCGTAGTGACGACTACAGTTTAACACAGGGTCCATTAATAATAATGCAGGACCCACTTTATGAGAATATTTTTATATTAGAAATTATACAAACAAATTCTTAATTGATCAAATTAACCAAAGCAGTGGACATGAAGTGAAACCAGCACTGAGGGAGTCTCTGCTGCAGCAGCTGGTCCTGGACCTTGTAGATCCACAATCCAGCTCCACATAAAACACTGATCAGTTCAGGTGAAAAAACATTGTTTAAATCAAACTAGTAAATAAATGTTATTTCCAGGTTTCTGTTGACGAGATGATCAATGGAAAAAGAAAATATCAATAATGAAAATCCAAGAAAAACTTGAAAGAAATGACAGGAAACAAAATGAACGTTGTTCATTTGGAAATAAAATAATCAGAGAAGCTGATTTTAATCCGAGCGCACGAAACCCACAATAACTGCACCAACGAGTTCATTTCAAGCAGCAACATTTCAATATCACAAACAAAATGTTGCTACTTTAAACGACCATGAATAAACTTAAATAAACTCAGCAGCGCCGACCGTGTGCACAACTTCTTTAGGTTATTTTTGGTGTTTTTAGGGAACAGTTATCGGAACGTTTTCCCGCCTCTGGACTTCCATAAAAAGTCTAATTAGATCACAACAAACAAAAACAAAAAGTTCTAATAAAATCACTTCCTAAGATGAATTAAATAAAAAAAATTACCACAAAATGTACGTTTTCGTCATTGTCGACAAACTCAACCATTGCACAGCATTCAAACCCAAATGCTCTCCATGGGATAATAAATATACACATGCAGATATACAAGTCGCTCTCAGTGTTTCCCACAGAGACGCGCTGTGTTCCTGTAGAAGAGGAGCTGAGGTTTCAGGGGTTAAGAATCTGGAAACTGTCAGGGACCAAAACGAGGACGCTCAGGGGGCCCGGCGGCTCAGGGGCCCCGCCTGCTGGAGGTTCAGGGCGTGTACAACAACAACACAACAAAAAAAACAAAACACTTGGACCGAAGCATCTCAACGATTCAAAAACACACGATCCAGGAACTGAGGAGCCGCAGGAACTGAACCAGGAGCTGGAGGTTCCTCCAGCGTCCGAGGTTCCACCACATCTGGTGAGGTTCCACCACATCTGGTGAGGTTCCAGAGGTGGAACAAAAACAAACGACAGCCTGGTTCAAAACATCATGACGACAAACTGCTGTGATGTTCGGATGGCGACCGACCCTTTTCATAAAGTTCCTGAGATCCAAAAAAAAAGGTTCCTGGCAAAGTTCCTGCAGGGGGGTGGGGGGGGCGGGTGGGGGGGGCGGGGGGCACGGCACTGAAACCAGCGACGCTTTAAGGACCACACTGATGGTTTGACTGCATCAACTACAGATTGGAACATTTCTCCGAGCGTGAACAGAATCTGCTGCAGGTGTTTGTACTGACACGAACAAACATCAGAGCGTCCTTGAATGCACCGTGAGTACTTCATGATAACAACAGAACTTTAACGAAATGATAAAAAGGCATCTACGTTTAGTTGCTCGATAGAAGATTAAAACAGAAACAACGTTTCAACGTGACGAGCTCCAGCTTCTGAATCTGAACTCTGCTGGTAAGAAACTCAGGATCTTTGGGTTCGGACAAAAACAAAAAGCGAGACGTGTGACGTCACTTTGGGCTCCGGGAACGTGTGACGGATACTTTTAGTTTCTGCTGGAAAAAAAAAACTTGTTAAACTGTCAGTAGTAAAGTCGATGCAATTTGCAGTCAGGCAGCTAAACATGCAAACACCACCAGTTTGGACGTTTTCCCAGTTAGACTGAGCTACTGGAGGCCACAGCTGACAGGAAGTATGTTTGCGGTCACAGGACAGAATCTGCTCAGATGTGACGTCACGCCGCCAGAGAGCCGACGCTCTTCTCACGGCGTGGAATCTGAAGCCATTATTCTCCGACGACCGTCCTCGTGTGGCTTTATACAATTCATCGTCTACGACAGGACACCTGAGCCTTGAACTGAACAGGAACTAAAACAACAAACGAAAGAGAAGAAAATAAAAACAACAGCAGCATTTCACCGGCAACTTCCTTCTCTCAAAACTCACACTGATTCTGAGCGGCGGGGGCGAGAGACGGGGAGCGAGCACGAGGTAAAAGAAGTCACTGACTCTGGAGGAATGACGGTAAAGATGTGACGGGAGGGTTTCAGTTTATAGATATGCACATATCCCACGTGCACCCCGGGTCCTCAGCCTTCAGTTCGTTTGTTTTCCCAGGGTTTGAGGTAACTGAGACCGAGAGGGGTCGCTTCAAACACAAAAAGGTGGAGACACACACTCGTCAACAAACACTCAATAAATTAAGAAACCATAATAATAAAAAAAAAAAAAAGAAAAAAACATGGTCGCCGTCACTTCCTCTTTCTCTCTCTCCGCTGGTGTCGAGGCCGAGGAGTCAGCCGGACAAAAACACACACTGGGCGAGTCCACACGGTGTTTACACATGAGACAGGAAGGAGGAGGAGAAGAAGAAGAAGAGAAGAAGAAGAAGAAGTCATTGAGGACCTCCACTGAGGAGGAGGAGGAGGGGGGGGGGGGGGTGATGTCGCTGGAAAAACATTAACAAAGCTTAAAGTGTATGTGGAGAAACACCTGGGAACTGTGGTTAAAACCTGCTACATCTGTTTAATTGCATTATTACGGCCGCGTCGACGCACGAGACGCCGAGCGACGAAAAAACACAGTGAGTGATGTGTTCAAATGCAGTCCAAAAAAAAAAAAAAAAAAAAAAAAAAAGGAAAACAAAAACCTTGGCGGTCACGGTGTCATGTTGTTTGGCGGGTGATGATGGGAGCTTGTGATTGGCTGATCTGAGTGTTCAGTGTCCCCGATGTGTTTCAGTTAAACCATATTGCACAGGGCTGGAATGACTTCAAAAAAAAAAAAATCAACTAAGCAACGATTCTACCAAACAATTAAAATCATTATTCATTAACGTCTCTACTAACGAGTACCGAGTTCAGTTTTTCTCCTCTTATTATTCCTCCTCAAGCACTTCAGCAGCATTTTTTTTTTTTTTTTTTAATTCAGCACCGAAAACGCCTCGAGCATCAGCTGATCAGCCGTCTGGGTCGTTAAGAGTGAAGCTGTAGTTTTCATATTCAACAAATTTCATTGATTTATACCGAGAAAAAAAAAATATTTGAGGGTTTTGAGGAGGGTGGGGTCGGGTGTCGTTTCCTCTCTGCATCTCGCCACATGAACAAGAAGAAACAAAAAGAAGAAGAAAAAAAGACCCAAACTCTTCGGTATTTTCAGACGCCAAAGCCGATGAAATCCTTTCTCCAGCTGCTGTCGCTCCTCCAGCCCCAAGAGGACGGCCGCTCATCTCTCCTCCTTCCTGGACACCTTGGAGGAATGCCACGCCGTCGACCTGCGGACACAAACATGGAACATAAAGAAAATACATAAAGTGACTGATACAAATAAAAATATTCATGAAAGTCAATATTGGCAGGTGGTAAAATTTGACTTCGATGAGTATTATTGATTGATTTATTAATTATTTTATTCTTATTCTTTTATTCTTGCACAGTTTATAAAGCATTTTGCTGGATGTTCACAGTCAAGTCTCTTTTATTGTCTTTGTTGAAAAAACTAGAACCACCGCCTCACGTTTGTATCCCTCCGCCAACCAGACAAGACACAGGAAATATGGTCACAGCCTCTCCTTCCTCAGTTACAGCACTGAATATGACCAGAGGTGCTTCTACAGAACACTATGATGTCACAGCGAAGTTGACCTTTGACCTTTGGGATATAAAACGTCATCACTTCATTTTATCCGTATTGACATTTGAGTTAAATTGTGTCGTAATTAGTGTCTGAATTAATGAGCGTTTGTGTGTCAGATGTAGAGAAACTCCCTCTGGGCGTTCCTCATATATTACAGTCACTGTGACCTTGACCTTTGACCTTTAGCCACCATTTTCTAATCAGTTCATCGTTGAGTCGAAGTGAATGTTCCGTCATGATGTTACTGGGATATCGTGTCAACGAGAACGAGACGGACGAACAACAAGAAAAACAGAAATATCGCTGATAATCAATAGATATAATAAATAAATAGATCAATAGTATCAGTGATACACTTTCATACTTCAAGTCTATGGAATGAAAGGTCACTGAAGTTCAATCATTATGTCAAGTTTGTTCCTCCTCCTCCTCCCCCTCCCTCCTCCTCCCTCCTCCTCCTCTTCCTCCGCTCCCTCCCTCTCGACCATCCTCCTCCTCCCCCTACTCCTCCTCCCTCCTTCCTCCTACCCTCCTCTTCCTCCCTCCTCCCCCTCCTCCTCCTCACTCCTCCCCTCCTCCTCTTCCTCCTCCCTCCTCCTCCTCCCTCCTCTTTTCCTCTTCCCTCCTCCTCCCTCCTCCTCCTTCCTCCTCCCTTCCTCCTCCCTCCTCCTCCTCCCTCTCTTCCTCCCTGCTCCCCTGTCCTCCCTCCATCCTCCTCTCCTCCCTTCTCTCCCTCCTCTCTCCTCCTCCCTCCTCCCCTCATCCTCCTCCCATACCTCGTTCCTCATCCTCCTCCCTCCCCTCCTCCCTCGCCTGCGCCTGCTGATCCCCCATCCTCCTCCTCCGCTCCTCCATCATCCCCCCGTGCCCTTACCTCCGCTCCTCCTTCGCTCACTCCTCCTATGCCTCCCTCGCGCCTTGCACTGCCTGACCCGCCTGGATCTTTTCCTCCCTTCGCCTCATTCCTCCTTCCTACCTCCTCCTCCCTCCTCCCTCCTCCTCCTCCTCACCTGATGAAGGTCTTGAAGGCAGCACTCTGAGGGTTGATGCACAGCGGCACCCGTTTGCCCTGCTGGTGCTCCGTGATGAAGCGATGGATTAACTCTGATGTTGGGAAAAGAAAAGAAGGTCACACAAACAGAAACAGCTGGAAATGTCACAGGACCAGTTCTAAACCCAGGAGACGTCTGGAGACCGTGAACGCGTTCAAAATGGCCACCGTACCTTTGCCCTGCCACACAGACAGCAGACTGTTCTCGTAGCTGTGGCTGAACGGCCGCTCAGCTACCGGCTCAAAGTCCCGGGTGTAAACTCGGCCGCTGGGAACGGAGTAGCAGCACTGACACATGCAGGTGTGGTAACGCAGGCGCCCTTCGTCCAGGTAAGGGTGGGAGAGGGCGTCGCTGCCAGAAATCCTTTTAGTCTGGAGGAGAGAACGCAGTGAGTGACCGGAGAGAGGAGCTGACAGGAAGTTCATGCTTTACTGGATCCAGTTTGGACTCGACTGCGAAGCTCAGTGGCTTCAGTCTTAAACACACCGTCCTGCTGCAGCCAAAAACTGTAGATTAATCCGCCGCTGAAAATAGTCCCCAACAAAATGCGCTACTTATTTCCTCCTGTTTCTTTGATAAAAACTGTTTCAATTTAAACTAAATATTTAAATTAAACAAAATATTTGCGAGGTGTGTCCAGAAGGAGTTCAGAGACGAACTAGCTCACTGTTGTTTGGATGACAGGAAGCAGAACGTGGAGCCACAGCAAAGGGTCTGAATACTTTAGTAAATGAGATTAACTTCTATAAGTTTTTTAACTCCATCATTCTGTGTTATTGAGTTTAGACTGATGGGTGGAAACATGAAGGGTCTGAACACAGCTGGAAAACACAGCTTCAAACTCGCAGGATGAGCAGCTCAGTTAATGGATGGATGGTTTGAAAATCTGTCCAAACACAGAGAAACAGTTTTACTTATTTTTACTTGTTGTGTCACTAAACGGTCTGGTCCTCGAATATTTCAGAAATATTTGATGTGCTTGAGCCCAATATGTCTCTAAGATCTGCAGGAGCTGGTCACTTACTGGAGTTAAAATTAAACTGAAACTGAACTAAAATGTCTTTCAGTCGTTATGCTGCCGGAACCAGCCACCAGCCGGAACCAGCCGGAACCAACCGGAACCAGCTGGAACCAACTGGAACCAGCCGGAACCAGCAGGAACCAACTGGAACCAGCCGGAACCAGCAGGAACCAGCTCCCAATGGAGATCAAATCAAGCTAAAAACTGCTCTGTTCTCCTCTGCCTTCATCTTATCTTGTATTTTAATTAGATATTATCTTTATTATACCGTTTTCTTATTTACTTATATTTTTATTCTTCTTTATTTCTGTTCAGCACTTTCCATGACCTCTGTGTTTGATAATGTGCTATACAAATAATTTTGTGATCAACACTGACAAAAGCTGAAGCTGTGTGTCAGACCAGGGTTAGCTTGATATTTTTCCCTTATAGTTTTCTTGCAAAATTCCTAGATGTATCTGTGCAGTTTGAGTTAGTAAAAGTAAATAAATTATAATGGATACGTATGTTTCTATTAAATTTATCTCATATTTCATGTGTAGAACATGTTAATTAAAAGATTTTCTTCGGTAATTAGGTACTGTCACTTTAAGAGAGAGCAGCTGGGACATTTACTCAGTGAGGATGTGAACAGAGTATTTCTAGTGATGCCTGACTGGATGACTGGACAGCTGTAAGCCGTCAGTGTGTCAGTGTTAGTTCATCTGAACTCACCGGATCAAAGACCAACATCCGACAGAGCAGGTGCACCGCCTCATGAGTGGCTCCGTCAGACAGCATGTAGAGCACCGACAGCGACGGCTGAGGACGAAATGTAAAGAGCTTCTGAAAACCTGCTTCTCAGATATAAACACAGTCCATCAGTAACATGTTGTCATGGTGATTCTGTTTGTGTTTACTAAAGGGATGATCTTGTTAAGTGGATTGAGTTTCAGCCAGATGCGACTGATCCGGTTTAAAACATCAGTGACATTATGAAACTCATCGTTATTTTTATAAAGTCACAGCCAGGGACAGACTCAGGTTTTAGTGCCACGACAAACTGACCTCATGTGACCTCACATAAAATGTTCCCAGCAGTAACGCACTTAGATGTGAAGTTGGGGATCAGACATTTCATTTCCATCAAAGTTTACAACCAGAGGTTCACTCAGGGAGAGCAACAACACGGACTGTGTTCTTCCCTGGTTCATCCTCCAGCCCTCCACCAGGGTCAGTGCAAATCGCTTCAGTACAAACATGTGAAAACAGAACCTCTGTGGTGGAGGTTAAGATGGATTCTGCCCCCTGGTGGACACATTTCAATAAGGAAGCTTTGAGTGTTTCCCTGAATATATATCGTTAACAGGGCTTTCTTAAACTCTTAAATATTAGAGTGAGACAAAAATCTACTAAATATTAGTAGTGGTGAACTAACAGAGGTAACCGAGCTAACAGGGCTAACAGAACTAACAGAGCTAAGAGTGCTAACAGAACTAACAGGGCTAACAGAGCTAACAGGGCTAACAGAACTAACAGGGCTAAAAGAGCTAACAGGGCTAACAGAGCTAACAGAGCTAACAGAGCTAACAGGGCTAAGAGAGGTAACAGAACTAACAGGGCTAACAGAACTAACAGCGCTAACAGAACTAACAGGGCTAACAGAACTAACAGGGCTAACAGAGCTAACAGGGCTAACAGTACTAACAGGGCTAACAGAACTAACAGGGCTAACAGGGCTAACAGGGCTAACAGGTCTAACAGGCTAACATGGGGGGAGGACTAACAGAACTAACAGGGCTAACAGAACTACAGAGACTAACAGGACGCAACAGAGCTAACAGGGCTAACAGAACTAACAGAGCTAACAGGGCCTAACAGAGCTAAAAGGCTAACAGAACTAACAGAACTAACAGGCTAACAGAACTAACAAGGCGAAGAGCTAACAGGCTAACAGAACTAACAGGCTAACAGAGCTAACAGGGCTAACAGAACTAACAAGAGCTAACAGGAATAACAGAACTAGACAGGACTAACAGAGCTAACAGAGCGCACAGAGCTAACAGGGCTAACAGAGCTAACAGAGCGTAACAGGGCTAACAGAAACTAACAGAGCTAACAGGACTAACAGAGGCTAACAGGACTACAGAGCTAAACAGAGCGCACAGAGCTAACAGGGCTAACAGAGCTAACAGCTAACAGAGCTAACAGGACTACGAGCTAACAGGACTAACAGAGCGCACAGAGCTAACAGAGACTAACAGGCTAACAGGGTAACAGAGCTAAACAGAACTAACAGGGCTAACAGAACTAACAGAGCTAACAGGACTAACAGAGCTAGGACTAACGAGCTAACAGAGCGCACAGAGCTAAACAGGGCTAACAGAGCTAACAGGACTAACAGAGCTAACAGGACTAACAGAGCGCACAGAGATAACAGACTAACAGGGCTAACAGGGCTAACAGAGCTAACAGAACTAACAGGGCTAACAGGCTAACAGAGCTAACAGAGCTAACAGGGCTAACAGGGCTAACAGAACTAACAGGACTAACAGAACTAACAGAACTAACAGGGCTTAACAGGGGCTAACAGAACTAACAGGGCTAACAGAGCGCACAGAGCTAACAGGGCTAACAGAGCTAACAGGGCTAACAGGGCTAACAGAGCTAACAGGCTACAGGGCTAACAGAGCTAACAGGGCTAACAGGGCTAAGAGCTAACAGAGCTACACAGGGCTAACAGAACTAACAGGACTAACAGAATTAACAGAGCTAACAGGGTAACAGAACTAACAGAGCTAACAGAGCTAACAGGGCTACACAGGGCTCTTCATAGCCTCCTCTGTCTCTAAAGACGACGTCTCCTGAACATATTCTTCATTCGACTCATTTAAACATGTTTTATTCTCTTAGTGTTTCAGTGACTGTTACTGTCTGTTCTGAGGTTGGAACTCTTTTCTGTTTTCGTTATTAAGTCGATAGATTGTCTTATTTTCTCCTCTCTGCCATTGTTGTGTTGTATTTGTTTTGTGTTGTTTTGCTTAGTTTCGTTTGCTCTTCTGAGCCCCCCCCCCCCCGAAAAACAAGACCAGACTCTCAAAGGGTTCATCCTGATAATAAATAGATTTGACACCAAAAATATTATAAATATAAATATAATATTTCTCTTTCAAAATCATAAGAGACATGCAGGAGAGGAGACGTGTGCAGAATTTAGAAGGTTAAAAATCTGTGTGCTGAACATAAAAACATCTAATAATTAATTATTAATTCAAAATGAATGTGATGCAGTGATTATTTTGGAGAAGTGAGTCAAACCTGAACAGATACCACAGGTTAACATGTTGTTTCTTCTGTGGGAGAATGTGTGAGAACAGAAACTAGAGTGTTGATGTTGGTGAGGATTCAGAGCAGACCACGCAGTCACGACTGTACCGGTTTGTGCGGCCCCTCAGGATGTGGGCTCTGGCTCCTTCACAGGCCGACGCCAGGGCCGACAGAGGGGAGTTCCCAGCAGGTCTGTGATCAGATCCAGCTGGAGGAGAGAGAGAGAAACAAGTCAGGTGGAAGTATTCTGGATTATTATTTAGTCAAAACAGCCTGATAAACCTGACTGATGGACATCACTGAGCTCCCTTCACAATAAAAGCTGAACCAGGTTTATGAAGCCAAAATAGGGCTTTATAAAACTGGTTCAGCTTTTATTCTGAAGAGAACTCAGTGGTAACCTGATGAAAAGTAAAAAATATTACAAAGAAAATTAAGCTGTTTTTGTTGTCTCAAAAAAACGGAAAGAAGCAGAAACGAAAATTCATGGAAATCAAACTGACTTTTACTGTTTCACTAAGTTAAAAAAAACATCAAACTATTGTCTGGTTTTCTGTTTTAAATCAAGATAAATTAAACCTGGATTAGAGGTTGAATTAAAGATCGCTTGGTCTCTGGGTAATTTTATCACTACTTTTTAACATTAGTGACGTCAACCTTTAGTTGGAGCTGTACACATTTTGTATTTTTATCTCACTATGGTGCAATGCTGTTAAATTTTGCTGCTTCATAATAACAGAAGGCATTTTCCCTTCAGGGCTGCTGTTTTTTTGGACGTGCTGAGATATGAACCTGAAGAGGAAATGATTCCCGTCTAAGGAACCAGCAGGTACAGATACACGATGACTGGACAGGTGGATTGTGGGAGTCACAGTCAGGTGAAGCGTCGCCTCGTCTCACCTGCTGAATCGGGCTCTGGCCTGGAAGAGGATCCGTCGTCCCAGCAGCTCCGCGAAGATGCAGCCCACTGACCAGACGTCGATGGCCGAGCCGAGTGCCGGCAGCCCATCAGCACCTCGGGCGCTCTGTAGTACTGAGTCACCACCTTCGCTGGTCATGTGGGTGTATGGCTCCTCCACACGGGCCAACCCGAAATTCACAAATCTGACCAGAGACAACGTGACGATGAGATTTTCATTTCAAACTGAGGGAATAATTCAGTCTTTACTGCAGGTCAGACACATTCAAATCTACTTGTTCAGGATAATTCACTTACTGATTTAATATTGTGAGTAAAAACAGAGACTGAATTTCACAGTCTGACATTAAAACTGTGAAAATGCCCGTTGATGCATTTTTATTGAGTCGTCTGAGTGGTTGAGTTCGTTTCAACGATAGTAATTTTAAATAATGTTTTTAAGTGCAGGAGCAGAGTTTTACCTTGAGCAGGCGCAGTTACTGTTGACCAGCAGGTTTCCAGGTTTGATGTCTCGGTGCAGGATCCCGTGTGCAGGTACTTCAAACCTGAACGACACAACAACAATCACACGTACTGGATCACTCTCTGGATCAGGGCCTCAAACTACAAACCCACCTGCTGGAACGTTTTTTCTGCAGGTTGTGTCAATGTTAAAAGGAAATTAAAAAAAGATGCTTTTGAGAACGGAAAATATTAAAACTGATGTCTGAGCCAGTGATTTGAGACTAATTTAACATGAGGTCGTCAGGACCAGACGTGGCTCCCAGGCTGCTGGTCTTAATGATATCCACGAGGAAACTGATGCTGAAAGTAGGAATTAATTCACAGGGACACACCTGCTGCTGTTTGAATAAATGATTTTAAAATATTCTCACAAAGCTGAATAAACAACATAACACAGAATCTTTGAGAGTAAATCACATTGTGCTGATCAGAACAGAAGATGGAGTGACATCTTTCCTCTCACGCTCGCCATATCAACCATCACTCCTCTGTGCGAGCCGCTCACCTCGGAGGATCTGATAGAGGAAGACCTTGATGTGGTCGGTGGTGAGAGGCTGCGGAGCCACCGATCACTTTGTGGAGGTCGCTCTGCATCAGTTCTGTTATCAACGTAGCTGCAGGGCGGTTTGCTGTCAAGGAAAAAAGCTCTCACACACACGGACTGACCTCCGCCTACACGAACACGATGCATCTCAAGCCACAGGTCTCATTTTTAGTACGAGGACAGTTGCTTAACAACAAGTGTCAATAAAACATAAAAACTACCCTTCGTGGTCGTATCCCTCCGCCACTCAGACTAGTTTCAGATTAAATCCCTGTTTATCAAAGTCATATAATATATAAGGATCAGCCACCGATCGTTATCGGTCTTTTTCTCATTAAAAACATGTGATCAGTGGATCGGCATTAACGCTCCTAGTCACTGATCACCTTCAGACCGATCACCTGTGGTTAATCCTCTGGTGTCTGCGGCTGAGAGAAGCACCGTGTGCTGTCGACAGGCGCCAAAACAAAACATGTCGGCCATGTGGGACTGATATAACGTACGCCATCTGCAGTGCACGACAAACATGATCGGTATCGTCCGATCTCACTATCATAGATGATAAGTATTGGCGGCAAAAAAACGTGATTTGCAACATCCCTAATAAAATACGAACTACTTGTGTGAAATAATAAAGTGAGTTATTGCTAAAAGGTGTTTTGTGAGGCCACACTGACCTTGACCTTTGAACTTTGATCTTTAGCCCAAATTTCTAATCAGTTTGTCCTGGAGTCTAGATGAACGTTTTTACCAGATTTAAAGAAATTCCCTCAACGCGTTACAGAAACATAACGTTCACATGGCAAAACGTGTCATTTGTGAGGTCACTGTGACCTTGACCTTTGACCTCCAACATCTAAATCAGTTTAATCAGTTTGAGTCCTATTGAATGTTTCTGCCAAATTTGAAGAAGTTCCATCAAGGCGTCACTGAGATATCGTTTCCCGAGAATGAGACGGACGGACGACCTGAAAACAATATGGCTGCCGCTCTGACTGTCGCCGGCGCCGAGGATGAAAAAGAAAGAATCACATCGACTCTCCACATTAATATTCACCAGTGGCCGAGCTCACGTCTGCAGCAGATGAGCTGGATTTAGACGACGAGAAGCTAAATTAAGTGAATAAAAAGGAGGACATCAGGGACAATTAAAAGAAGAGAAAGTGGGACAGAAGGCGCGAGGACGTAAATGCACGTGATGAGTGAGGAGGTCGGGTGAACGCTCTGCTGTACATGGAGATGATTCAAACAAACGAAGGCTGTGACTGTGTTTTCCACATGAACAAGGATACATTTCCTCAAAGCAGTCGATCTGCGGAGGCTGCAAATATCCAGAGCCGACAAGACTACGTTGTTCAGTAAGAAAAGAAAACAGACAAAAACATTTAGTCCTCGGCTCGTTTTCATCACCTAATAAAAACGTCTGATTCCGTCTCTCCACATTCACAACAACACCCCCCCCCCCGCGCCCTCATTTACATTGTCGTGTTTGAAGAAGCACAGCATCCTCAGCTCCCTGAAGACCCTCTTGCAGGAGACCAGGTTCTGAGACATATGAGCCATTCTTCAAAGCACCCTTCCGACCGTCGCGCGGATCCGTCACCGACCTGCGGGACGTTCACAGTCACACACATTCTGTTTCAGAAAAGGTATTTCCTGCCAGAGCTCAGCCAGTTTGGTGACATAGTTTTAACAGACTGGGTGTTTTATTATGAAAAACATGCGACGAGCTCTGCTGACACGACTGGAAGATAAACTGCAGCAGAGCACACGCAAATTTACTTCTGTACAGGAATGTCAAACACCTGCTATGATGATGTATATAGTGAATATATCTTGGTGTTGGATTATTGGTGAGACAAAACAAGACATTTTAAGATGTCACCTTGAGCTCTTGGAACTTGTGACGGACGTTTACTGACATTTTAAATCAATTGGAAATAATGTGCAGATAATTAAAAACAATCCTTAGTTTAACAGTCCTAAAATGTAGAATTGAAACTGAATTTTTTGTAGGTGTTTCCCACGTGTTTTAGTGCCATTTATTACAAATCATCAATTTTATTTAATTTTTCAAAGCTTTAAGCTCAAAGTTTTAAGTGTGAAATTTACTTTGCAACACTTTTCATCGTGATGAATCATTAATTTTAAACAAGAATGTCAAACATCTGCTTGTTCCAGCGTCTCACACGTGAGGATTTGATGCCTCACTTTGATATGATGATGTAAT